CGTTGTGAAGCTGCTAGATTGATCATGATGAAACAAATATTTGTGGGTACATCTGCTATTCCGAAGTCTATTGTCAAGCATGCTTCTAAAAGACCACATGGAACAGTCACTGGAAATAGTTCTCAACTTGATTTGCCGCACAGCAGAACTGAAGCGCACAAACATTATTTTTACCCAGAACTTGTAGAAATCGGAACAGGCTTCTTGATTCAATAGTCTCAAAAATTTCAATCAGTTCTTTAGGGGATCATGTTCTTGAGTTTATCAGATCCAGGCCAGGAATAGGAACTTAAATTAACTTTGTGCCACTCCGTCTTCTCCATAGACTATACATGGATTTGGTGAATCTTTACAAGACGTGAATTCCTCTACTGCCACGAAATCCATTAAGACAGTCAGACTTGGAATTTCCACCAATCAACGCAGTCAGACTGTAAACTTGTTCATTAAAATAGAGGTAAATATAAGACCAGTAATTTGATTGGCTGCTACCCTTTTTGTTAGATGAGCTGATTCTCAAACACCAGATTGTGAAGTTGGGATTTCTGAACCTCGCAGTAATAAGTGGACACAAGAGGGCGCAAAGCAAGTATAAACTGTGGGCGGTTCAAAGCCTAAAAATACATTCGTAGATTGAACGCGGAAAACGTCAAGGAAGATCTCGACTTGAGTCAAGTCTATTCCAAGGTAAGCCTCTTTTTATCAACCGCCTGTCAGTTCACAGATCATATGACAAACAACAAGCGATATTAACTATCTTGCTTGTTTTTCTTTCGATGATACAAACTGTAGTCATGCGTTCGGTAAGGAAACGAATGACTCATGCACTTCCTGTTTTTGGTGAAACATAACAACACTGGAATTACGTCGGACAGTCCCCCGCTTACCGCTCGTTCTTGATCGCTCTCCAAAATAACCCACAATCTCACAAAGCTATAGGCTGCTGTTGTGTAAAAAGTAGTCCACTGTGACTTTTGTTCTAAACATATCATTTCAAAGGAAACCCGATTTAGAGCTAAAGTCAAGAGGGCAAACAGCACTGCGTGTCTCCTTGAACAGTTGGCCGGTATGACCAATCTCCTGGAATACCGAACTCAGTGACTCATCAGACCAAAATGCTGGACATGTGTTCATTTAATCTATTTCTTCACTTGGGTATGCCCAAACAGTAAAGAACTGGTTTCTATTGGGGCCCTGCGTAGTACATTGCAAATATTCCTCGGTGTTTTCACGAAGTGGAAAAAAAAATCTTGCCTAACGGGCATTCTAAGAAAAATGCGTTTGAAAATGCCAGCCATTTCAATACACAGTTTCGATCACGTCTATGTTACGGATCGAGGAATTCGTTACAAAGTTATGAAATGTACTCAAAAAAACTCAAACAATTAGTCATAAACAATGACAAACAATTAAAACTGATCTGAGATGGACTTCGCAGAAACTAATCGATGGCTTAGCGTAATGTGCCCCATGAATCCATGGCATCTGAGTTGTACGTTCAAGTCATTCCATATATGTATATCACTAACAGCAAAACTGTTGACACGTAGCATTGTGGGAGCGGCCATGTGCTAATTCTGTCTTAAATTCCTCAAACCTTCAGTGCTTGCTATTTGACGTCCATCTGGAGATTGTACAGTGCAGGGATTGGGGGTAAGTCTAGAAACAAAGTGTGTGACGCAGTCTGTGCGACCGCCCTCTCTCGCGAGCAGCGGAGAGCATTTCTCAGCCGGGGATTTTCCCGGAAATGATTATCGTACTACGCATGCAAGCCAAATATACATCAAGCACACTCCCCTTTTTATTTTTTTATTACCCCCCCCGCCATCCCTTTACACACAGAATCAAGTCTTGCACGCAATCACTCATTCACTCAAATTTTAAAGTGAATCGGCAACTGTTAGTCCCATGCATATCTTGGTTTTCAAAGCTGTTAAACGGACTTACTGGTGATATTACTGACTTATCATGTTTGGCTTACTGACCAAGTCGCTTTACTTCCTGATCATTCTTGGGTCACTCGTCATTTATAACTAGCCTACGTTGATGATCGACTCACAATTTACCCTCTGCTTACCTTTGGCTCGGCGCTTGATAGCCTTATCGCTCTGCACTGCCGGGTGCAAACACCATGGATCACGATGGGCAAAATGGTACTATTAGTCACACCCAGTTCCCCAAGAGTTTAAATATTCATGTACATTGGAATTCTTTTTACGGTGCGCATACTGCAAGGGGTTTTCCAGCTGTCCGTAGGCCTAGACAGGTTCCAAGTCCTTCAACTGTCGGTTTGGGACTTCGAATGTGGAGGGACCAGTACAGCAGGCAATTAACGTACGGAGAAAGCCTCCACGTTATTACTGATTTATTCAGTTTACAACGTTTTCCATGAAAATCCCAAGCACCTCGGATTAAGAAATAATAGTACACAAAAGCAAATCTGTTAATTCGGAGTATTGCTTAACTCAACATGTTTATAATACAGAAGCTATTTGGAGGTGTAATCTAAATGTCCCTAATTATGAGTCACTATTTATGTACAGCGGTACATTCTATTGTATGTACCATATGCATGCTACATCATTAGCATTATTTAAAAAAAAATACTCTAGTATAAATATCCAGGGACTCCAAATATGATGAATTCTGTAGAGGCTATTCCACCCGTGATGTGTGATATACCATGTGTGAGGCTAACGCATGTAACTTGCAGCGGTATAGAACACATTGACCGGTAAATGGGCACCGGTTCACACATGTTTTGTCTGTCTGATTGTTGGGTTGTTTGTTTTAGTTGGCAGTCTTCATGGTAAGTAAAACCAAGTAACGCATATACAGACTAAGATCAAAGCAAAATAAGATCAGGACTAAAACAAGTCAAAGATACAATGTAAATCCGCGACAACATTGTCGAGAATAAAACAGAAAGCTTTTCAACAAATTATTGCCGTTTTGGTCCTTTAGACTGAAATTATTTACGCTTAGAAATGTTCAGCTTTAAACACAATGTGTAGATGAAAATGAGACAGTAAAGGTGAGAAGACAAAAATATATCCGAGAAAACANACCAAAAAAGACGGTCTTTACATTCTCCACAAAAGCAAGCGCACGGAGGAACCGATCAATTTACTTTTATTTAACAAGGGCGAGAAGAACCATTATTCTTGGATTAAAAACTTCTCTCGGTTGACGGGTGACATCAATAAACACGACGGCCAAAAACACTGGTGTTTCAATTGTATGTCGCATTTCCAAACGGAAGAAAAGTTAATCAAACACAAAGAAGATTGTCAAGGCTTAAACGTTCCCACATGTACGGTCGAGTTGCCGGTCAAAGGTGAGAATATACTCAAGTTCAAAAATTACAAAAATAAACAAGACGCGCCTTTTGTCATTTACGCCGATTTTGAGTCTGTTTTAGAAAAATTACCGCCGACCGATACAAACACTCTCAAACGGGGTTTTTCCTGGAAATGATTATCGTACTACGCATGCAAGCCAAATATACATCAAGCGCACTGAGCTTTCGCAAAATTGTATTGCACCTACTTGCGTGCTGACATATTTATACAGCGTCAGTAAAAAATATCACTCACGAACAAAATTATCATAGACGTCGCCAGGATTTTGTGGTTTTTTCACAAGCCATCATGGGCATACACTGAGTATACAGCGTTAAAATACACGTCGCACTGGGGGAAAATTCCCAAATTGAAGGGCATGTATGTTTAATAGAGAAAATGTACCTGATAAAACATTCAAGGTGGAACTTCACTTTCGATATTTTGGTGATTTTCAACCCCTTTTATCTCGTTTGTCATTTCTTTTACCCTCTCCCCTTTTATTTTTTTTAACCCCCCCCCGCTATCCCTTTACACACATATATGATAAAATGGAATGCCCTCATCGCCTAAAAATTAGCTACAGAATCAAGTCTTGCACGCAATTACTCATTCACTCAAATTTTCAAGTGAATCGGCAACTGTTATTCCCATGCATATCGTGGCTTTTTCAGAGCTGTTAAACGGACTTACGATGTTGACGACCTTGAATCGGACAGAATGTTCAGCCTAGTACGTTGTCCCTTCAAACCTTGCTTCCGTTTTTGATACTCTGTCACACGGTTACCAATGGACGAATGCGTAGCTAAAGTGGGAAAGGGCGCAAGGCACACATCGCGGCATGCATGCATTGCGCATGAGTGGTGACACATTTTGCTAGCCCGTAGTTCAGTAGTTGTTCATTGCGCATGCTGTGCACGTTCAAAATTTCACGAGCTACCCGCCAAAAAAAGTATTTCTTTGTTCATCAGACTGCAAAAGTTTCGCGCCACTCGTGCACAGACGGATGTTGACTGGTCAAATTGCCGGATCAGATCCACATTTTACGTTCCCATCTGATCGTGATCCGCCAATTGCAAGATCTGATCCACCAATTGGGCAAATCTGTTAATTCGGAGTATTGCTTAACTCAACATTTTTATAATAAGCCATTTGGAGGTGTAATCTAAATGTCCCTAATGAGTCACTATTTATGTACAGCGGTACATTCTTCTTTATGTACCAAATGCATGCTACATCATCAGCATCATTTGAAAAAAAAATGACTCTAGTATAAATATCCAGGGACTCCAAATATGATAAATTCTGTAGAGGCTATTCCACCCGTGATGTGTGATATACCATGTGTGAGGCTAACGCATGTAACCTACGGCGCTATAAGGTAATAATCAATTAACACTTTGGCCCGTATAGAACACATTGACCGGCAAATGGGCACTGGTTCACAGATTACGTTTTGTCTGTTTGTTTGTTGGGTTGTTTGTTTTAGTTGACAATCTTCATGGTAAGTAAAACCAAGTAACGCATATACAGACTAAGATCAAAGCAAAGTAAGATCAGGACTAAAACAAGTCAAAGATACAATGTAAATCCGCGACAACATTGTCCAGAATAAAACAGAAAGCTTTTCAACAAATTATTTCCATTTTGGTCCTTTAGACTGAAATTATTTTACGCTTAGAAATGTTCAGCTTTAAACATAATGTTTAGATGAAAATGAGACAGTAAAGGTGAGAAGACAAAAATATATCCGAGAAAACGGAAACAGTGGTATAACTGAGATACACACAGACGTAAGTATTAAGGAAATTAGTGCACATGAAATTTATTTTAATAACACATATAAAGAGTAAAGATGCATTAAAACCTGGCACATTGTAAAAACAATACAACAGATAAAAAGAAGAGATCCGACCACACAAACTAACAACAAACCATGCATTTTCCTGCAACTGCATACAGCACGTCAGAATAATGCAATTTGACAGTATAGCCTTCTTGAAATTATGTAAATAATTCGGAGAATAAACATGATTCTTGTCATAAAGCGATTTCCAGTATGGCCCAAAGTGTCTAAAAATCGTTGAGGCCAGCCTGTGAAACGGCTTTTTTTATTTGCTAAGTAGGAACCGGGTGTAAGCCGGTATATGAACTCAATTTGCTGCCATAAATACATTTTAGGTAATTTAGAATTCAGCTTAAAAGTTTCCAAAAAGTAAAACACAACGTCAGTGTTCTGCCGTCTCCCCAAGTCCTCCCCGGAAGAGCGTTGCTAGCTACCGCATGGTTAGTGGCATCAGTGCTTCTAAAAATCGGGATAAAATTTGTATTATGGCAAAACGGCTTCTCAGTGCTGCTGATGTCGTGAACAAGATTATTGTCTTCGCACCAGTGAGAAGAAACCGACTAATAACCAGCATCGCTGTCAGGAAACACACCGACGCTGGGACAGTTAAGCTTGGAAATCGGCATTATTGTATACATGCTACAGTAGCAAAGAGTCATAGGTATTCGACTGCCACGTATTATGTCACAACTTGTAGAATGACCAAATAAAATCGACGACTGTTGTTCTCCGCCAGACTTAAAAACCCGCGAACTGTTGTCTGAATTCAGTTTTCAACAAATTGAAAAAGGAGAGCTTGTGTCTGTGATAAACATGGGCTTACTTGCCAAGACAAATATGCCTATATTGCCGAAAATGTCCTCCATCGCTAAACTACATCTTTAAAGGGGTGGGGGACTAGGATGGTTTCAGTAGGCAGTGGCCGTCACAAGGTGACAGGTTTCATCAGTGTCCAGATGAAAGAGGTGCTGGAGATTCATTGGTCATTACTTTCCCCTGCGTTACTGTGCTCAAGGTAAAACCATTCTTAGCAATTAATTTTCTAGTCCCCTCGTGCTACTTTAATTTCTAAACATTTAGAATACTGATGGACAGTTGTGGACAACGCTGGAAGACATTATGCCTGAAAATCGTTTACTTTCTATCGCTGTTAAATCTCTACACTATTGTCTGATTTACACGTAAACAAATGGGATATGTTGGCTCATCAACTACTGGTACAGAAAATGAATTGTTTCAACGAACACCATGCCTTAAAATTGTTGGTTTTTTTGCCTAATATATATAAACTGTCGACAACAGCAGTAGTAGTGATAATTCTAAATGTATTTCTAAAGTTAATATGGCAACTAAAGTTCAATCGCTAAACAGGTTTTAGACAGTGTGGTTATTTGCTTGGATCATTGTCGTTTACAAGGGATATCGTGACTTGAAAAAAAAAGATCACTTGAGCGCTTGTTGAAAGAGGTGGGTAAGGCGTTGGCGTTTACCGGAGATTAATTAACAAAGGCATTATGACAAATATTTGAACAGTAGAAAGGTCTATCATCGAAGGGTCGCAGAAAAAAAAGAATGTCAAAAATGTTCTCTATATATTGGTAATGCAAGAAATGCCTCGAAATTCAGTTTTATAGGGGGTCATGCAGGCTAACGTTTCTTCTTTGTTATTTTCTTGATATTATGAAGAGATCTAGTGGACGTATTGCGGGCCTTTAATGCCTCGTTACCATGTCATTTTGGTACTTTCTTCTTTTTGTGCCCTTTTCTTTTAAGCTATAGTGTATGGGGCCGGGAAGACACATCCCAATAGCAAATTTATCTGGTCATCCCATGATAAACTGTGAGATGCTCTGGTTTTTTTTTTTCAAGATAATATTTCCTCCATCCCACGATAAATCACAATTTACAAAAGTTTAAACCAGATTTGTGTTTGTGTTTCTGTTTTGTTCTGCGTGGGGCAGTGTATGATAAGGACGAGCTGCACTTGCAAAATTTGAGGAGTATTTTTTATCTGAGTACCGGTACTGGTAGTTCGTTCACGACAAATGGGCACAGTCTCCCTGCAGGAGCTTGGTCGCTTCGAAATGGACCACATCGTCCTGGTTCGGTCAAAACATAGGTGTGTCTCTCCTTGCTTAACAAGTACTCTCAAGTTGATGATCCTGCGTCGCCATGACTCCTTTGATGGTTTTCCGATGGTTGCGACTTTTAATTACCTAAAAGCATGTACAATACAAGGAAAAGGTGCCTCAAATATAACAAATTATTTTTGGCATACTATGATTACTTTTTCTACAAGGGTCGCTGGGTTCCAGCCGGAAGGGGGTAGCAACAGGGCTTTGGGGTGCGGCACCACCAATGATTAATTCAAGTTGGCAAAGAGAGCTTTGGTCGGCAAATAAATTGGAATAAATGTACATAAACAGATACATTGTCCGTTCGAATTTCCCCTGAAGCATAAAACGTACCGTGCTACCACGGATCACTTTCTGCATTTTACACGACACGAGGTCGGCAAACAAAGCACAAGTCGGCAAATTCACTTTGGCACACCTTCCCAAAGAAATATGCCTTCGCTACGCCACCGTTTCAGCGAGGGGGAGAGGGGCCATTTTTTTTTCACTTAGAAACGTCCCTTTGGGCCGATTCATTCCAGGCCGTGTTCATGTGCATACCTTGGGCGCCCCTCAAAGAAATATGATATCGCAGTTGACGCAAAGCACATTTTTTTTTTAACTTGTTCCGATCATCCAAGTTAACCAACGATCATTTTAAGGGTAACATCTTTGGCGTTTGACCTGCATGATTGGCCAGTGTGCGCGCGCATACAGTAAATTGTACCCACTCACAAGCAAGCTGTTTGTTCAAACCATATGCAGAGGAAGACGATTTCTCCGTTATCCACGATTTGAAAGTATTGTTAACATAGCACGGTAGCGAGGCGCCAGTGGGTAAGTATGTAGTATTGCTATTCAAGTACGAGTACCTTGATGATCGAGTGCAAATTCGACATGATCGAGTTCAAGCGCTTTGCTGACGAGTCCAAGCGCTGTCAATTCGGGTATTGAGAGAACAACATGCAGGACGTGAGTAGGCCTGCTCCCAAAGGGTGCTTGAGTAGTATTTGAGTACAATCACGATCACTGACTCTGTCTAGTGGTACGCACAGCAAGCAGATGACGATAAAGTGTCAGAGTAGACTCTTCCCGTCGTCCTATGAGACGCTTGTGCATACACTCCAGAAATGACACATTAGTTTCTCGTTACTACCCTCCATATTCTTGTGACAGGTACTGAATATTCTGTTTCCTCTCTTGTTTTTTCTTAACATGACGTACTTGTGTTATTATCCTATAAGGAACTTACCCAAAACAGGACAATGAGGCTTAGTAACAGAAGGACAAACATCACCACCGAAATAGCCATTACGATGTAAAAATTTTTTACAAGATCAGGGCTTGTAGTCCTCGTTGTATCTAAAATAGATTCAAATGGGAGGGTGAAAATTATTTCTCGATATGTTTTCATGAAAGTTAAATGAGTTCAGATAGGACCCCTTCGCAGAATTTTGTCTTGTAGAACACTGCACCAGGCTTAGTAAGCTACTGCGGTGTCAAAACGTGGCAACATTGGGAATCTACTTTTTAAACCGAAGTCTTCAACACTTACTTGACTCGTTTCTTTAGAAGAAGACACGTGTTAATAGCGTACTACCACAATCGTGGTATTACAGAGGTGGCATTTTAGCATGTTAGATAGCCAGGTATGACAAATCCATCCAATACTGATGGTGTAAAATCAACACGAGTTTTTCAAGAGTTCAGAGACAACCTCCTCTTCTTGTGCAGATCATATTTACGATCAAAGACGAAATAATCGACGAGAGGTGTCAAAGTAACTCAATGTTTTTGGGGCCTGTAAATAGGTGAAATAAAGAGAAAGGTAGATTTTGTTTTCAAGTGTAGTTGCTTCTTCGACACAATTTTTCTGCATCTTTGTATTTTTCTGTAATGTATAAAAACGCTTCCACACTCCTACTTCATTTGGTTAAATGCACTGAAAAGTGCACACTTTTAAACAATTAAATTATCAACGTTTTCCCAGACAACTGAGGGCGCTGTTACTGTGAAGTCATCTGAGGAAAACATGGTTCAGTGCTTAGGTATTTCTGTATAAATTGTGAACTCGGAATTAACTAATTAATAACATTTTTGAGAGAGGGGTTGATGGTTTCCGATTGCTATGCTCATAAACAACAGTGAATCAGCAAAGAAGAAAAAACTTAGAGAATCAGCAAAGAAGAAAAAAGCTTAATCCACGAAACTGCAAAAACACAAGATTTTTTGTGCACAAACCAATGTACATCGAGGCTTCTTCTTCTTCTAGCATAGTCCCATCCCTGCACAAAGCCGATTGAGGGACCCCGAATATAAATGTAGGTAACGACTATAAGGTGTTAGTATGAGTCCCCACCTGCCCAGACCGGCGCTAAATCTCTTCTGACGGTCACAGTTACTTGACGTCCATTCTCGCCTCCTGCTGCTACCCCGTAGGCTTTACATCTATATTTCACGCTGTCGTTAACCGTTTTTGACAGATAAAGGGAAGATGCCGTCGTGTAAGTGTTGTCGGAAGAGGAACCTGAAATATTTAAGAAGCCATGGATGACTATGGGAATTATTGGGAATACTAACTTGTTATGGCAAGTGAACCAAAATGGTAGCAATTTTTGATCTGCAAATATAAAAGAAAATGAAAACGGCCTGTAAACACGAAAGAAGGCTGCCAATCTCTGATTTATTACTCAAGTAGTTTCATAATACAAGTTAGAATTCACCGATCTCAAACTAAAATTAGAGACTCTTTTGAACATGACAAGTGGATATTAGGATCAGTACATGTCAATTTACCTGGCTGATGGGCTTCCGTTAGATACCTGGTATAGGTAGATTCAGCCTCCTCCACGCGGCCGTCTTGAAACACAATGGACCATCGGATAGCTACCGGGGGTTTGACTTGTTCAACTTTGCATGTAAGGGTGACATTTACCATATCGTGTGGTACGCTAATAATGCATTCATCACTAAGCTCTGACTGCTGTGGAACACACCCAGGAACAACAGGAAACGGCTTTTTGGCTGAAACTATAAATTGACAAAAACGGAATGATCGCATAGAGAGAAACATGCACTTCTAGTGAAAAGCGTGAAAAGCAACCCATAGAGGAATGGGGAAGTTACTATTGGAGTTTACCACAAAGCGTTTAATTGAAAAGTAAACTAACCTTTTTCCTAGGGCCAGATTGTTTCACACCAATCTAGATCTTGATCAGTTATCCCATCACTGGTTCGCTCCATTTATGAAGCGAGTTTTTGTGTCACTGAACCCACGACAGATCACTGATCGCGTGCGATCCGGATCCGTGTGAAACAAACTGGCCCCTAACTTCGTTCTATGGAATGTTGTATAGTTTATCGCAAAATGGTCTCTTTTTGCACAAGTTCATTTCTTCACCTTTGACCGCTACCTCTACAGTTCCTTCGTGTAATCTGCCCACATGTGGTACAACTGTATAAAAATATGTCCCTTCATCAGAGTCGGTGACGTTCTGGATAACCAAAGCTAAATTGCTGCTGATGTTGTTACAGCCGAGACAGATGCCGTTCTGGGGACTGATGGTGTCATGTGAATAGGAGCCAATGGCGTGTTCTCTGTCTCTCGAACCGAAGTACCAGAAGACACAGTCCAGATCTTCTGGCTTGTATGCGAAGGGTGTATTTTGGAGAAAAGGAACAATCCCATGTTGACCCCGCTCCAAGAATACGACCCGATCTTGAATCGAAATGTAAAGTACAAGCATACAATTTATTATTATATGGTGTCATATTTCAAGAACCACGTAGCAGCCAATATGGCTGCATTGCGTGAAACTTTATAGCATACACAAGAGGCATTAAAAACGGCAACGCATAAATTATTAAATTCATGACATTATTGCATAAAGACGAATAAGTAGATTAAAAGGGGGAAAATTTCATCCGAATTCTATACACTGTTTCAATAAAAGGGAAGCGCGGTGGGAATGAAATGCAGAAATTGAGTTGGAGACGGAAAGGGGAGTTTCCAGGAGAGGGGTAGGTTGGGCTGCAGGACAAAGGATAGGACCCAGATGGTGTGGATGATGAAGAATACTGAGAAATATTGGTAAGAATTGCAAAGAAAACAAAACCGCACATACGTGGCGAAGACAAAAGAAAACACAAGCAACATAGATCACTAAAAATTGCAAATGAAGTTAACACATTAAATGGTAAAATCAAGTCATGTGAATTTGGGTCAGGTAAGAGTACCGATTGCAGGGGAATGACTACTAGGTATATAATGGCTATTCATACATATTACTGGTCAGAAAAGGGCATGAATGTAAAATTAAAAAGAGATTACATGGTATAAAACAGTTACATCGAATTTGGAATTTTTGACAATGTCAACGGAGCAGTCATCACTATGTTGATACGTGGCTTGTGGGATTCATACCACTTATATTTTACCCATGAAGGAGACTGCACTGTTGACATGGCTTGTAAGAGTTCCACTACGATATACAATTGTAAAGAAACTCCCAATACATAAAAACTATCGGCGTTTTGATTACAACTGACAGTATTTTTCAAAAGGCATGCACCTTAATTTAAATTCCTACCTGCATGGACCTTTGGTGAGATTTTCCTGACGCTAACCAACAAGTGACTTCCATTCTCGCTTCCTACAGCTACGCCATGAGCCTCACATCTATACCTCATAATGTCACTACCCATTGTGGGCAGATGGAGAGTTAATAGTGACGTATAAGTGTTGTCGAAAGATGAACCTGAATTTAAAAAAAATCTCAGCTGAAGTTTGAATGTTTAAAATTACTACGCCACAAAACACTTAAACTTAATTGTTTCTTTCACAGTCTTCCAAACACTGATCTTTTATCAGTCAATCCGGAACTTAATGCTTGTATAAGACTAGCCGGTTGGAAAGGCTTGTTTGGACTCGTCTGACTGAGGAAATTTCTTTGTTTTATATTGGAGTCCAAAAGGACAGGTAACAGGTAACAGGTAAGGGTCTTGGTCAGTTCATGATAGTTCGTTGGAAACTATAATTTATGGATTCCTCATTATGACAAGAGGTGTGATGAAATGCCCTTTTATAATTGCTGTAAGTTGTTTCATCAGTAAAAGAAGAGACACATGGATCACGTTAAGAGAAAAAAAAAGGAAAAGTGGACTCGGGTGGTGAAACAATTGATAAATTACCTGGTCTGGTAACAGGCAATATCGTAGTTGATGAGTTGACTTGCTCAGCGCCACCGTCTGGAAGCACATGAAACCATAAGATGTCTACCGCAGGTTTGACATGCTCAACTTTACATGTCAGGCTGATAGTCACCACATCGTATGGTACGCGTACAATGCAGGTATCTACTGGCTTCGACGGGCGAGGATCACACTCAGGAACAACAGGAAACAACTGCTTAGAAGTCACTGTGAATCAAATTTATGTTATCTTAACAGGTGATAACACACGTTAAAGAGTGGTAGCTTTTTACACCTGCCATCTTATGTGGGATGAGAATGTAACA